ATGAGAGGTGCTCATGTTGCCCTAGCAAGACCTCTTGTCTTCATTCCATGCTAGCCAAAGTTCTAAAAACTCTCCAACCTCTCTCTAAAAGAATCCTAGCTTGCTCTCCAAGCCAAAAAGGGAACTTCCAAGCTTTGCATAGTCTTCCACCAAGATTCCAACTTTCCAATGCTACAAGGCTAGGAATGGTAAGATCTATCCTTCCCTACCTTTTCCTTGCAAGATTCCCCCATCTTTTCTCTAAATCTTTCTTCTACCTTGTGGGTTTTGGGAGTTTGTAGAAGATCTAGTGGTGGGTGAAGTGCTAGGTTGATCTAGAGGAGCTTTGGTCTTGCTTTAAGGTTGAAGAAGGTGTTCTTGGTCTACAAGAGGTAACCCATGCTACACAAAACCTATTTTCACTTGATAATAATGATTATTGGCTTCTATGTGACATTCTTGTTGTGTTTGAGTGATTGATGCATTGTCTTGTGGTAATGCATTTTTAGATCTTGTATTTTAGGGTTCTTGAATGTTATTTTATGATTTATTCATAGGTTCAAGTCATATCTTTGTTGTGTGGAAGATTTGGGGTCATTTGGACTTGAACTTGGCCTAAAAAGTGATTTTTCGCGAATGCTGAAATTTTGGGTGCAGGGTGTACCCGCGGGTGGAGCCCTACCCATGGTTCCCCTCGCGGGGAACATGTTTGGGATTGCGGGGATTTGTCCCCCATGATCCCTTCTTCTTGGTATTTGACGTTTTGACCTCCCGTTGTTGAATTATTGAGCTTTTGTGAGTCTTCTTGATGTTTCGTATGTCTAGAACGATGAGTTAGGAATCCACGTTAGGATTTGGTTTCTTGAACCAACCTTGTGATTCGTTGGATTGATGTTGAGTCTTTGTTGTTCATTGGAACAAAAGGTTTACCCGTTTGACATGCATGCTAGTTTAATGTTGTAATGCTAGTGTGTGTGGTTTGTTCTTTTCTATTGAGGTTGGCAACTTGTGTTGACCATCGTTGGTGTCGGATTGTAATCCTTCCTTGTTGAGTATGGTTTCATATCTTTGTTGTGATCCATTGATTGATTCCTGTGATGAAAACATGGGTATTGGTTGTACCTTGATTGCACAATTAAGGGTATGGGACCTTAATCTCCAAGGTACAGATGTGGTATCCATTGTTGTACACACTTTGTGTGGAATCTATGTGTTGTTGTATCTCTAGATTTCGTGTGTTTTGACTCTTGATGAGAAGATGGATTGATGTGAGGAGATGATTGAGCTGGTAAAGTGGACAGTGTGGGGACTTATGTGTGAACGGACCGGTAGTGAAGCTCCGGATGGCCGTTTGGTTACTTGTGACTTGTGGGCAACATGGGAAACTCATTCTAGTTGCCAGAGATGGTAGCTAACCCGTTGAGCTTGGAATCTCAATAGGGGATGTATACACTTAAAGTTGTTAGCTCTGTTTCCATTGGGCTGCGGTGCTTGTCATTGCGATGACGTCGTGCATGTGATCCGGGTCGTTGCGATGACTACGTGGTACATGTTTGTTGATGATTTGGAGCCCTCTACAATGATCCACTATGAATCGAGCCGTGGTGCTGACTCCACGGTATATGACTTGGTGTGATAGTGTCCTATGTGGACTTGGAACTCGTTATGGTGTGAATCTAGCCTTCCATTGCTTAAGAGCATGTCTATTGTGAATCCTGCGTTGTGTGTCGCATGTTGTACCTTGATGTTGAGCTTGTTGCTTGTGGTTCTATTGTCTTGTTGAGTATGTTGGTCTTTGACCTTTGTTGTGAGTGATTGATGAGTCCATTGATGTTTCCTCTCTCGGCTTTAAAATGATATATATTGTATTCCCAGTTTCAAACGCTTTTGATTATATCTATGTATATATTATGATATTTAATGTGTGTTGATGGGTTACCAGCATTATTCGCTGACCGGGTGTTATCCCTTATCTTTTACAGGTTGAGTAGCTTTGGAGAGCGCGTTAGTGGCCTGTAGATAGATTAGATCTCTTCCTTTAATAGTTGTTGAGGCCTATGAGCCTAAGTAGTTGATTTGTTAGACTGCTTAGTGGTTAGTGTTTGCCTGTGCACCTATTGTTGTGTAGGTGTGGCATAACATCTCCCGGATTGGTGTAGTTAGCTTCCGCTTTTCTTATGTTAATGTTTAGACTGCATCTCTTTTCTAAGCTTTAATTGGTTTTAAAAGTTGTTGAAATTCGTGGGTGTTATAGTTAGTATCAAAGCCTAGGTTTGAGCCTAAAATGTTAATAGTTGGACTTTTGGAACCTAGATTGGAACCTTGGTTAGTGCTTTCAAGTGTAAGACCTTAAGAAGTTAAGCTCGAATCCTAAGTGACGTAGGTCTTAGGAACCTTAGGACGCGCGGTGAGGTTGTGAGTTCTCTTATCTTTTCTGTTGTGTTTCCTGTGCTTTGTTCTTCTTTCTGTTGTGGGTTCTTTTAAGTTAAGGCACTGGGTAAGGGTAAGGGCTTCTAAGTTTCCTCCCGTCTTCGTGCTGTTTCTGTCGAAGTCAAGGATGGCACCATCGAGACGTCGTGCAAGGTCTTCAGAAGCGGCCACCAACGATCAGCTAGTTCAAAGCCTGCATCAGCTGACGCAGATCACCCAGATGCTGAGCAACACCCTCCTCAACAATAGCCACCCTCCTCAGGATAGGAATCGGGACGTAGTACGCCAAGTTTCAAGTCTTCGTCCCCCGATCTTCGCCGGTGAAGAAGATCCCGCGGTGCTGGAAGAGTGGATCCGGATGTTTGACAAGATCTTTGAAGTTGTGGACTGCCCGGAGGATCGCCAAGTGGAGTTAGCTACGTTCTACCTTAGGCAAGAAGCGGACTTGTGGTGGATTCTTGAAAGGCCAGCTTGTAGACAAGATCCGGGGTTTAGTTGGGAAAGCTTGAAGGATAAGCAACGTGAACGGTTCTATCCTGCTCATGTTAAGGCGGAAAAGTACGAGGAGTTTCTCCACCTTAAGCAAGTACCCATGTTGGTAATGGAGTACCACAAGAAGTTTTTGGAGTTAGCCCGTTTCGCCTCAGTTTTGGTACCTATCGAGGAGAGTAAAGTTGAGAAGTTTGTAGCCGGACTCAACTTCGAGGCTAGGAATGCCTTGACGGTGTCGAAGCCTAAGACTCTTAATGAGGCCTACCTTTGTGCAGCCGACCTCTATCGGGTGCAGCATGTTTAGAAAGGAATCCTGGAGAGCCGTAAGAGGAGTTTTGAAACAAGTGTTGCACCTGTGGTTATGAGTTTGTCAGTTACCAGTACCGAACCATCTCGAAGCCTTCAAAGGAACGACTCTAAGATTGATAAGACTCCTCAACCAATCCGGAACAACAAGGTTAAGGGAAAGCGCTCCGTTTGCAAGAAGTGTGGAAGTGGCCACCCCGGCAAGGACTGTCACGGGAAGCCGATAGAGTTCTTTGCTTGTGGTAAGAAAGGTCACCGGTCCTTTAAGTGCGTGCCTAAGAAGAAGACTTCAGCAAGCCCGAAACCAGCTGGTAGTGTGAGACCTCAGTCGGGAAGTAAGCTTCAAAGGGGAATCAACAGTGGACTCAGTGGAAGAAGCAGCCCGGACCCGTGTGCGAAGTCGAGACCTCGGCGAGGCAAGATCCACAGACGTAAGTCAGATGCAAGCTAAGACCGATGAATTCTTATACCCTTTTGTTGCACCTCTCTTTTGCCTTCGTGCCCTTCCATGCGTGTTAGCTTCGGGTGTAACTAGTTTAAGAGTCAGTTTTGACCTTGGTTTTGACTCAAAGCTTCTTGGGTTTTCAAGAGTTCTGGAGAAGTTTGGTAAGGTACGGGTGTTCTTAGCTTGTGAAGCAGAAGAAACCATTTGAAGTCAAAGAACCCTTGACCCTCTTTAATCTTTTTCCTCCTCCTAGACGAACCCAATCATCCTTTTTCCAAGTAATCCTTTTTCTTCCGAACCTTGTTCTTGTTTTATTTCCTAACCATCTTGTGTAAGGCGACGGTGACTTCAGCTTTTGAAGGAAATCTGGCAAGGTCTGAGAGTTAAGTCGCGTCAGAATCGAAGAAAAGAACCTTCAGTTCGACAAAAGTGTAGTGATCAAGCGTCGAACAGTCATTTTCGCCCGAAGTCGGAAATCCCTAACCCTCTTAAAGCCGTCTTCCTCTCTTTACCTTGACGGACCAAAAGTCTTTTTATTGGAAAATCCTTCCTATCTTTTCGAAACTCATTCTTACTCCCTTCTTGAATTGACTCTGTATAAGGTAACAACCTCATTTTCCTAAGTTGTGACTTTGAAAATCTTGATTCCCTTTCTGATCAATGTTATCCTTGGACCTAAACCTAGAACTCTTCCGTTAGGAAATCCTTATCTATCTTTTTTTAAACCTCGTTCTTGTATTCCCCACTTCTAACGATTCTGTGCAAGGTGGCAACCTTATTTCCTAAGTTGCAACTTTGATGACTTTGATCGTATTCCTACAACATGGTCCTCGAGTTTCTAAACCTAAACCTTTCACTCTGGTCTTTTCCTTTGAACCGTACTGTTCTTGCGAGCTTTATTTTCCCTAAGTTATCTTTCTCCTTGCTACCGTTCCTGCTTTGGACCTTTCATCCAGATCGAAAGTTTTGAAGTTTTCAAGCGCTGCTTTGTAGAGAGTTGTGGGCGGTGTGTTAATGCAAGTGATAAGTTGGCAGCCTGTATAAAGTTAGCCCAAGAGCTAGGGAGAAGGCATCCTGCTCGTGTTTGGGAGCTGGCAGTAGTACCCTTTGTCTGGAAATGGCGGATAAAGTTCAAGCGATGCCGAGATCTAGTTGTGCAGTGTGAGAACCTTGCATCCTTTGGTTGGAGAAATTAGCGGTGATCTGTTGAAGACGCGATCCTTGTTCTTCGTTCCCGGGTAATCTAGCTTTAGTGTTCTCTTGGTGTTAGTTTTCGTTGTAGCTTGTTCCTTAGCTAAGACGTCTAGGTCTGGGTAGTCTGGTGGCTAGTGATGGGTAGAGAGTTGAGTATAAGGTAGAATTAGTCTTCCTTTCCAGTAAATCTTCTATCTATCGCCTTATCTTTCTTTCTTAACTTACCTTTGCGAACCCTCAGCCTATTTCTAAGCCTATCGGTCTTATCACCGTAAATTGAAACCTTGATTTCTTTAACTTTAGTTATTTGGTGGACACCTTTGTTCGTTGCTTTCTCTTGTCGCACCTTTCTTCATTGCTTTTGTAACACCCCAATTTTCATAATCAAATTTTCCTTACAATTATACTTTCTTAATTGAAAAATTTACTAATTACATAGCGGAAGCATTAATTAACCAACATAAATGGGTGTTACCGCCACGCTCAGGTATCTCTCTTATACCCAAACGCTAAGGCTAAAAGTACAACTTAAATTGAATAATCCAAAATCAACTTAATACATAAAACTGAAATCACTCTACAACAATATCTTCCTCAAAATAGCAAAGAAATAAACTTTACTCCATCTCAACTGAATCCATCCCGATTTACTATCCATGTTCACCTGTATAAATAATTTACAGAAAAACAAAGTGTAGACAAAAATTAGCATAAGCTAAGCAAGTTTCACTTCACCCCGTAAAATATAGGCTTGGATTTTATATTTTCAAAACTCATGTAATTTTATACTTTTTCCAAAATACATGTGAAGTTATACTTTTCCTTGTATAGAGAATTGATATTTATAAATGGAGAATTAACAAACCTCATCAAAATCCACTTAGAATCTAGACTAAAACCTATGTGCACACCCCCAGGGGATTCCGAGCCACTGGGTAGTATATGATCCAAGTAGTAAGGTTTTCCTACCTACTACCACACAACCAGTTTGGAAACTGGATCATAACCTATGTGTTACACCCTCATGGGATTCCAAGCCAAATGAGTAGTAATTAGTCCCAGTGAACAGTACTCACATTTACTGAACACCTCACAATATATTGTTTCCTGAAAATTTCATTATTTCTCCATAAATAAATACTCATCTCCAAAAATAACATTTTCTCCAAAATATATCATTATACAATTTCTCGATAATACATTTTTCTCAAAATATACAATTTCCTTCAAAATATATTTTCTCCACATGATTTGTCCAAAATATAATTATAGTACATAATCCATTGGTAATACAATTTTAACGATACACCACACCAAAAATTTACCAAGCCAAGTTTTCACACACACAGGGCTCGACACGTCGAAGCCCATTCTCGATAGCTCGAGAATCACCCCACACATTATTACAATGCACTTGCGATCACATGAACATTATAACTCATACCATACAACCCATAATTCGCATAAATAGATTTTTGGAACAAATAGCTTTAGCATATATAGTCATAGATACATTATTCATCATATTCACATTCACTTAACATATAATATTTTCGGGAAAAGTAATTTTGATGAACATGAAATCTTACCCACGAAGCACAAACACATCTATCAACACTTAATAGCATCATAGCCGCTTTGATAGGGAACCTGTGAATCAAACATATCTTAATAATATTATTATTCCAAATACTATTATTATTATTCCTATTGTTACTTGACTGTACTGCCGCATCATCATCACTCTCACTAATAAATCACAATCAAATATATATAAACACCTACCTCCCTTCATTATCAGTATCACGGCATTAACAGAATGAAAATCATCATCTCCATTTTTTTTTTGCCCAACTAGTTCATGATCATCATTATGCCTAACATTATCAGTATTCAACCTCATCTTTTAATATTCATCTCTACTCTAATAACATTTAGATCATCAATAACAACACTACCAACAAATCAAAATCGATAATATCCACCTAATCCTCACATCATTTACTCCATCATATTAATCAATAAGCTTAGCTTCACCATGGAACAACGTCATTACCCACGCTTCTTCATCCACTTTGCCGTCCCTACTGCCTTCATCGCTGGTCACTACTGAACAAAAAGGGAGAAGAAGGTGGCTGCGTAACTCTGATCTAATTTAGAGGAAAAGGGGAAGGGAGAGAATCTGGGTATTTCTATTAAGGAGAAAGAGACGTGAGAGAGATGGAGAGAGCCACAAGGGATATAATAAGTAGTATATATTACCAACTTAAACTATAATACTAATATATATATATATTTAGGCTTAGTAATATGGTTAGCAGAACGTACATATATTTACTTTAATTAGAATAGAGAATTAATAGCAATTATTGCTAATTGCAAATTATTAGGAGCAATATAATATACGTACGTGTATATACATTAAATATACAAAATGTGTAATAGTATGGATTTATTTAGGTAAATAAACGTACAACATATATATATATTAGGATGAAAAATAAAATTATGGTGTACAGGATCAATATAATAAAATAGGTTTAGGAAGATATTATGTCAGATTTGTAGCTCAGAGAATATAACATAAACTATTATTAGGCAATAAGAATAGGAGAATTTAATAAAATTAATCCCATACGCATATACGGTCCTCAAATAATGCCCAGAAAATATGGGGTATCACAGCTTTCTCTTGTCACACCTTTGTTCATTGCTATTCCTTTTGATAACCCGTCGTGCCCAAGCTTTGGGGATGAAGCTTCTTGTTAGGGGGAGAGGATGTGACACCTCGTAAATCTAAATGCTAATTGGAATTAATTAAGGAATTAATCCTAACCTTCCTTGGTAATTTCTTTTCCTAAAATCCTGAAATTTCATAGTCGAAGGACTAGAAATTGACTAGTCTTCTTGGTGTACCTTGTGCCTTGTGTGTTGTACCCCAATCCCTTATTCATCCAAACCTTAGTAAGGGTAACTTGGTCTTTTCACTAATAAGAGGTTCTCATGTTACCCTAGTGTTAGGAATAAAGTGTAATGGTTTTGATATGCCAAATATGTATTTGTAGATCCCCCAATTTTATTTCATACGTCTAGTAGAGTCTTAGACCATGATCGGGAAATTATTTAAATTGGAAAAGAGAAAAACAGAGGAAGATGGATGAAAATAGAAGAAGAAGATATAAAGCCTAAAATCAAGAATTTGTCTTGAGAAAATGACAAATTGAAGAAGAAGATGAATGATACAATATTCACGTCAATGCTACTCAAAGAAATATCCCAGAAGAATTTTCGTGAAGAAAATTAAGATTGGAAGATTGCATGAATTTGACTTGGAGATCAAGCATCTATGGAAAGAAAGGAGTACATCAAAGTAGATTAGAGATTTAATCAATAGTTGTACGGATGAACTGGATGATGCTTGATATGTTATGCAAAATGGCTCAAGTTCAAATCTCACCATCAACAATTTTACAAGGTAAAATTTGAAATTTGAGAAGCCAAATCTAATTAAATCTGATGGAGTTGGGCGCGGCCAATTCAAAGGAATTGGGTGGCAATTGAGAAGCAATTGCACTTGAGAGCCAAGGCAATTGAGAAGCAATTGCACTTGAGAGCCAATTCAAAGGTTGAATTGGGAGCCATGGGAGCTAGTTCAAAGCAATTGAAATTGGGAGCCATGAGAGCTAGTTCAAAGCAATTGAAATTGGGAGCCATGGGTGCTAGTTTCAGAGAAATTGAAATTGGGAGCAAGTTTCACATGAGAATCAATTCATGGGAGCCAATGTAGAATTGAAATTGGGAGCTGAGAATCAATTCAAAATTTGAAATTGGGAGCTGAGAATCAATTCAAAATGTGAGCAAGTTTCACATGAGAATCAATGTAGAATTGAAATTGGGAGCTGAGAATCAATTCAAAATGGGAGCAAGTTTCACATGATTTCAAAATGGGAGGAGCAAGTTTCACATGAGAATCAATGTAGAATTGAAATTGGGAGCTGAGAATCAATTCAAAATGGGAGCAAGTTTCACATGATTTCAAAATGGGAGCAAGTTTCACATGAGAATCAATTCAAGATGGGAGCCAATGTAGAATTGAAATTGGGAGCCAATTGACCAATTCTAAGAAGACATGGAGATCAAATTGAATTGAGATGAAATTCATATTCAATACCAGGAGAAGATGGGAGCCAATGTAGAATTGAAATTGGGAGCCAATTGACCGATTCTAAGAAGACATGGAGATCAAATTGAATTGAGATGAAATTCATATTCAATACCAGGAGAAGTCTGAGAGCCAATTTCAAAGTCAAAGTCAATAATTCAAATTGGGAAGCAATTGAAAGTTCAAAGTCAAAGTCAATAATTCAAATTGGGAAGCAATTGAAAGTTCAAAGTCAAAGTCAATAATTCAAATTGGGAAGCAATTGAAAGCAACAGAAGTAGATTGGGAGCCAATTACAAGTCAAAGTCAATTGGGAGCCAATTACATAGGAGAAATTCAAATTGGGTGCCAATTACAAGTCAAAGTCAATTGGGAGCCAATTACATGTCAAAGTCAATTGGGAGCCAATTACAAAGGAGAAATTCAAATTGGGTACCAATTACAAGTCAATTGCAATTGGGTGTCAATTACAAAGGAGAAATTCAAATTGGGAAGAAGTTCAAAGCCAGTTTGAAGTCTGAGAACACCCAGACGTGAGAATGAAGAAGATGAAGATGAACTTACAGTAAAAATATTCTCACAAGGAAAAATACTACTAGTTTAACTAGTATGGGATTAAATTGAAGAATATTTTTAAATCCTAAAGATACAAGGACCACTTTAGAGCTAATCAGAGAAGCCGTTCTACACCCAGATATTTCCACTCAACGTAAAACCAGAGGAATATCAGATGAAGTTTGAGAAACCATTCGCATGAAGTTCAAGCTCTCAAACGGCTAGCTTATCCTTTCTGACATCTTTGCAGAAGATAAGATAAGATCTCTGACAAAAAGATACAAGATTTCAAAAATGAGAGCGTCTCTTTCCAACGGACAGATTCTCATTACCAGCTATAAAATGTTGAAGATATGAAGACTTGAAGATCAAGAACTTGAGACGAACAAGAGAGCAGAAAATATGAACTCATCAAGGGGAACGAATAGAGCAATTAAGCTTAAAAGAGCATAGAGCAAAAATCTCATTTGGTACAGAGCATACCAAAAATCTTCAAGTGAGAAGTGAGAAAAGAAAAAGAACTCAGAGAGCTTCAAGAGAAAAATATTCTGAGAGTTCTTTTAACAGAGCAAAACAGAGCAAAAATATCAAGTGTTTTACTTGATATATTCAAAGAGAGAAAACACTCAAAGCTATCAAGAGAAATCATTCCAGAGTGTTTATCTTCATCAAAGAGACCTGCGCATCATTGAAGATCAACTACAGAATCTCAGAAGTTGGAAGCAAGACAACACTTGTTTTGGAGCAAAACAAGAGAAGGGAGGAAAGTAGCACGGAGCTGTGAAATCCTGGATTGTCACACGGAGCTGTGAGATCCGAAGCAGCAGTGTCGGAGGCACTGGGCGTGATTACTGCGGGCTTTGTGATCAAAGCACTAGATCATGGGATACGTTTCTACCAGAGTGTGGAAGACGGGGGGAAAGTAACGTGGAGTCGTGAAATCCTGGGATAGTAGCGCGACGACATGAAACCCGAAGCATCAGTGTGGTGTCACTGGGCGTGATTAGTGCGGGCTTTGTGATCAAAGCACTAGATCACGGAAATTCATTGTATCTTGGAACCAAGGAGTGGTAGATATAGTGAATTGCTCTTGGAGAGAAGAGCAAGTGGAGTAGGAGGATTACACCACCTCGCGAACCACTATAATTGTCTTGTGTTCTTTACTGCTTTCTTTACTTACTGCTCTTTACATAATTGCTCTACACAAGATATACTGCTCACACAATCTCACACACACTTTATGTTTATTTATTTCCGCTGTGCACCATACTCTAACAATCTAGTTAAGAGTTTTGGTTTATCTCTGGCTTAGCAATTGTTGTGCTGTGCGAAAAAGTTTGAAAGTCTATTCAC